ATATATATATATATATATATTGAATATAATTTTTTAATAAAGAAGTTAAAAGGTTCCCTTGTATTTAATTAATTAAGCATTATGCCATGAAGACGTATCTGGGAGTGGAGGTATAGCTCCACCATTTTTAACCACGGCGCCGGATGGAGGTGAGTGGTTAGCTACATGGTCACTCCCTGTTACCCTTTGGAGAGGAGGCTGGGTGACCCCCAGAGCCGGTCTGGACGCAGTGGAGCAGGGGTAACTCACTTGTCACTGCCGGGAATCAAACTCCGATTCCTCGGGCATCCAGCCCGTAGCCCGTGCTATGCAGACTGTGCTATCCCGGCTTCCAGTAACTATACCACTTCAAAATATGATTAATTATAATCACTAGTAATAAGCTAAGAAGTTGCCTTAAGTGGTAATCGGGAGGTACACGGTTCAGTTCCCAGCAGAGATATCTACTATTCTGAATGAAGTTTGCCATGATATTCCTGAATTCCTTCAGGCAAATGTCCTCCTTAGGAGCGTTCCCTTTCATAAATTTCCACTTTATTATTGAGCCATAATCCTTGCACTCACAGCTATACACGTATATTACGAGATGTCAAGAGTGTCTCCATACAAACCATAAACAAGAATATAATAACTGAATTCAATTCTTTGTTTATTCACTTGATAATAAAATGGCCAGAGACAAATTATACAGCAAGCATGAACGAGATAATGAGACAGAAACACAAAACATAATAAGGAGACATATGTCCCTTAGATCATAACAAATATTGCCATCAGTGTAAGAAAGCAAGTGAGAGGAGCCGAATTCATTCACCTTGAATACAATTAATATTTCAATAACTCAATAAATAATTATAATTATAAAATATTGACTGTTTAATTAAAAAACATTAAGAGTTAAATCATGAGAATAATAATTTAATCGCATTTTGTATCTGTATATTTGCTTATTCAACAGTTCAAAGACTAATTAAGTAATAATATTTATTACAATAATAACAGTAATCCCAGCAGTTCTAGGATCTATATCATTGTAGCATGTAGACCTGTTGCTAAGTAATGACTGTGTAAACAACGTCCGTTTGCTAGGCAACAGATCTCTAACGCGTACCATTTTCGACTCGCGTGTCATCTAAAATAAATTCCCTCATCGTTTCTCATGTGGACAGAACTGACCCCTGAATAGTCTTGATTCAAACCCATGTGACTATTTTCCTTGGGGATTCCTTATGGAAGAGATTTTTCCGAAGAAGCACACAACAATGGAACTGAGAGGACTATTCATTCAGGTCTGCAACGAGATAACTGAGGACATGTGCCTTCGAGTAATCATGAGGATCGCAGTTCATGTTGAAGAAGTTGCCAGACGTAACGGTGGTCACACTGAATACTTGATTCACAGAGGATAATTCTCCATGCAAAGGTCTTTCTCTTTCTATGTTACTTTCTAGTGTTGTGATCGAAATAAAGATTTTATTAATAGATCAAATACTGGATCGTTCCGTGCACCAACCTGTAGTTCACATATGTGAAGAGTTTAATGGAAGGAAGTCAGTGGCCGGCAAGTAAGGGCGTGGACACCGAAGCTGAGGAAGTTACGCCGTTGGAAGCCGTTACCAGACAACAACCGTTGAAGATACAGCAGACTGAGAAAACTTAATGCGTGCTGTAATGAACTGCAGTGTGTGAATTAGCGATAGCGCTGTAGTTACTGATAGTTACGATCTATAAGTACTTAATAAATCCAATTACCAGTCAAATCTAGTCTGTAGCCACTGTATCTCGTGAAGAACTGCTCACTTTCTAGCCCACTTTGTCGTCGTCCTGAACCGGTTTAACAGTGTGCACCCTCCAGATGCAAGTATTTCACTGAATTCTATAATTTCTCATGGGTCCAGTTCTTTCAAGACGTTATAACAGTCACGTGATAATGAAGGCATTGTCATTCTACGTTTGAGACTACAGCATATTTTACGTTTACATTTGTGTAAGTTAAGAAAGCAAGTCTCTGTACTTCTAATTTCATACCGCTTCTCTGCATGTTAACATTTGTCCCTACTAATATTATCATTGGCCGCGCCATAGCTCAAGCGGTTAGTCGCTGGCTTCCCATCGCGGCGACCCGGGTTCGATCCCGGGTCTGTTCAAGTGGGATTTATGGCGGACAAAGTGATGCTGGGGCAGGTTTTCTCCGAGTACTTCGGTTTCCCCTGCCAATCTTCATTCCACCAATTGCTCCACAATCACCCTCACCTATCATTCGGGGCTGGTACAATAGGCCAGAAGTGGCCGCAGTACAAGGGACTTAGTCCCACACCACTAGCAATACAAGGGACTTAGTCCCCCCACTAGCAATACAAGGGACTTAGTCCCCCCCACTAGCAATAAAGAAAAAGTAGAATAAGATAAACAATTTGAAGACCAATATATAAAAATTATTTACAAATTAATTAGTTCTTAAAATGTCTAAATACTTCCATGGTAAGATATTTACAGTCTTGCCAAATTTCGTAGAAATAAATGCACAAGGTCGAAATTTATAAAGCATAATCATACAAGCATAGAAAATCATTTTCTTAGCCTACTTTCACTGATTTTGTGAAAATAAAAGAAGGCTTATGACATAACCTTATTGTTTCTGTGTCTGTCTGTGTGTGTGTGTGCCCCCTTAATTTTTTAGTCTTATAAGTTCATCTTGAGCAGGTCACGGTAGCCGCGCGGTCTAAGGCATGAACTGCGTTCGCTCGCTCGGATACTAGGATCGTGGGTTCGAATCCCACTCAAGGCATGGATGTTTGGTGTGTGTATGTGTGTAAGGGTTTATTCTGTGTTTGTGTTGTCCTGCGTTTAGGTAGAGACCTTGCGACAGGCTGACCACTCGTCCAGCGAGTCCTGCCGACTGTGACAAAACGATTACGGAACTGAATAAGTGGTCTGGGCTCCGATGGTCCAGAAGAGCCTTCATATCTGCGTGTCTCCCTTGTCGTTGCTATGAGACGGACCATTTTTGCGTCTGTGTATGCCCCTAATTATTTTTTCAACGCGGTTCATGTCGTGTCAAAAGAAAGTAGGCGATTAGATCTTTCCAGAATTTCTCCTTATGTATAGGGATATGTAACGATGAGCCTACAGGATGAATTTCCGTACAAAACGTTGACTCAAGGTTATAAACTGAGCATCACAAATTTTCCCTTACTTTCCTTCCCCAGGCTCTAATGAGTCACTACTTATTTCCAGTTCCCAGAGTGTGTAACAGTCTGAAGTTTCAACGGTACGTGTACAGACATGTGAAGTGCATTCTTCTGTTATTTGAACATCTCAATGAAGTGAGAATAGTTCGCTAAGCGACTTAAGTAGGCCATT